AGGTGCTTCTTTCTTGCTTGCTTGCTTGCTTGCTTGCTTGCTTGCTTTCTATGGGTCTTTGAGACAGGGTTTCTAGCTTAACAGCCCTGATGTCCTGGAACTCACTCTGTAGACCAGGCTGGCCTCAAGCTCAGAGATCTGCCTGCTTCTGCCTCCAGAGTACTGGAAATAATAATAGAGTACCCAGTTCTTCTAACTGCAGTTTCTGCTTCCTGTGAACTCTCCTTCCCAAGCTATTCCTTCCCTTTCTCCATATTCCCTTTCTACTGCCAGGTCAGGGCCAAGTAGCTCCCCCCACATGCTCTTTTCCTGACAGTGTAGGAAACCCCTATGCTGAATGGTCACTCAAGGCTCAGGTTTTGGTGGTCAGAACAGGGTAAATGTCTACATGGCCAGCAGCAGAAACAACAGTACTTGACACCCTGGGCTCTGGGCCCAGCTTCTGCTCTTTCAAACTTCCCCTACAAATAGCCACTGTCTTTTTTCTGCCCGAGTGCCCAGTCCCCAAACCTGTAATCCCAATACTTGGGAGGTTGAGTAGGAGGATTACCAATAGTTCAAGGCCAGTCTGATCTGCATAGCAAGACTGTCTCAAAAAATATAAATAAATAAATAAATAAATAAATAAATAAATAAATAAATGTTAGCCTGACATGGTGTTGCATGGATAACCCCAGTACTTGAGAAGTAGAGACAGGAGTATCAGGAACTCAAGGCCAGCCTGGGCTACATGAGTACCCCCCACACCATCATTTAAAAATTCTAAATAAGCCGGGCGTTGGTGGCGCATGCCTTTAATCCCAGCACTTGGGAGGCAGACGGATCTCTGTGAGTTCGAGGCCAGCCTGGTCTCCAGAGCGAGTGCCAGGATAGGCTCCAAAGCTACACAGAGAAACCCTGTCTTAAAAAAAAAATCTAAATAAATAAATCTACCAACAAAACAAAATATCTTGTTTCTTGAACAATCCAAAGGCACTGTATATTATTCTAATTTCCCAGAGAAATAACTGTCATAAAGACAGGAAGAGGCAGAGTAGACCTGCCTACATGTCCCTGGTTTGTGCTCCTGACACACAGATAGATCTCCAGGGTCTATCTGCAAAGACAACAGTTTGTGGGGTTTTGTGGTTTTGGTTTTTTGTTTTGTTTTGTTTTTTTTGTGGGACACCAAGTCTCACATTTTAGCCCAGGCTGTCTTCAAATTTCCAGCAATCCTCCTGCCTCAGTTTCCCAAATCATAAGATTACAGACATGAGCTACCATTCCTGGCTCAAGACAACACTTCCATTGAGGCAGGGACAGGAACAGCCTATGCTGTTCTACGGTAGGTAGACAATGCTTGTTTGTCTTAAGCCTTCCTCCACCCAAAAAACAGCTTACCTGAGCATGTAGGGTGGCGGCCGCAGCAGCAGTGGCAGCTGGGTAGGTGAGCGTAGTATGTGAAATGGCTGGCGCCAGCTCTGTGGTGTAGAGAGGGTAAGGGGCCCAGGCCTCTGGGGACGCAGGAATCAGAGCAGCCCCCATCAGGTCATCTACAACAGGAGACAACAACCTCCATTCCATCACCAGAACACTGGTCTCCCCTCCCACCACCCCCTTTCAAACGTAAAAGCATAGACCCATGCTCCGAGACTGGGAAAGAAGCCCTGTGAACTTGCTTGGCATGGTCAATACCTTATTTCTGGAAGATCTCAAGCAGGGCATAGATACCCTATATTAAAAAAGAGAAATCACGGGCTGGAGAGATGGCTCAGAGGTTAAGAGCACTGACTGTTCTTCCAGAGGTCCTGAGTTCAATCCCCAGCAACCACATGGTGGCTCACAACCATCCATTATGAGATCTGGTGCCCTCTTCTGGTGTCCAGATATACATGGAAGCAGAATGTTGTATACATAATAAATAAATAAAATATTTAAAAAAAAAAAAAAAAAAAAAAAAGAGAAAACACAAAAAAGGCTCCAAGGAAATAATGCAGCCCTCACAGCCTAGGAGCTCAGCCTTCTTGAGTCTAGAGAGGAAGAAGTAGGCTGCTAAGTCTCAAGGTGGTGGCTAGAGATGAAAGAAGGCCCCAGGAAAAAAAAGGCATGGTTGATTAATTCCCTTAGGATCTGAATATATACAGTTTAAGGAGAAGCTGCTGGCCTGGGCCAAGCCAAAGGACAGGAGAAAAAGGGTCAGAGGCCCACTCACAAGGGTCCCGTGCAATCAAATGTGCTCCTAGGGCAGGGTGGACATTGGTGGGATTTGGTGTCGCTATTAGCTTGCTTTTGGCCATCTTGGTGTTGGCTTTGGCAAACTCTAGCCTCAGGGTCTGGGGGTTGTCAGGATCAAAGCGAATACCCTAAATGGGAAGAAAAGGAAGAGAGAGTCATACAAGGACCCATACTGTCACCTGCCATCAACATGGAGGACCCCAGAAGCAAGCTTGCCTGTACACAGAGCTACAGCAGAGGGAATACCGCTGACCCTGTGAGTAATGACACTCATAACAAACCAAGCAGCCAGAGATTCTGCCCTGGGATGGGTGGGAAATAAAAATCCATGTGTTTATTGAGCATGCAGTAGGGGAAGATTTGCAGTGGAAGAATAGGGACAATCCTGCTCCAGAGGTCTGTGGGTCAGAGAAATGTTCTCTGTCTACTCACATTCAATGCATTTTTGGCTGCTTCTGCTCCTGCCCGGCTGTCAAAGATCACAAAACCAACAGGCTGGTAGGAAGAAAAAAGAACATCCTTGCTTGTCTCCCTGTCTTACATCTCTGCACCCCAGGCACAGCACTTTCCTACCATGTCCAAGGCCTCGGGCTAGATCCCCCTACCCCTCAGGAACACAAACATTAAAAAAAAAAAAAAAAAAAATTAAAAACAGTATTTGTCTTGCTGGTTAGAGAACACAGAAGAAATAAAGCTTTTGCCCATACCGCCCTAAGGTAAGCCTAGAAGATTCAAGATTCACAAGCATCTAAGTTAAGTCTCCCTTCTGGGTACCACACTAGGAAAGGATGCCAACACAGCACTATCCCATGGATCACTGATATCATTAATAACACCATCTTTTCTGTAGCTTTTTTTTAAAAAGCAGAAGTGAGGACTAAACCTAGGTCTGGCACATATCTGGCAAGTGCTGTATCACAGAGCTGCACCTACAACCCCAGAAGCCTTTGCAAATGCATGCAGATAAAATTGAAAACTTCTGACTTCAGACTCCCAATGGCCCCCAAAAGGCTCCGAGCTCCTGCAGGAGGTCAGAGCTCAGCTACTATCTCTAATGTCTTCAGCCTTGGGGGCCAAGCAGGCTGTGGTTCCAGAATGCCAGAGCCAGCAAGGACTGGCTGACAAGTCCCAGCTGGCTAGAAAAGAGGAGGCAGGAACTGTGGAGGCCACCCTTCTGTCAGGACAGAAGCAAGACAGCAAGGAGTGGGTCTCCGCCTTCAGATGCCATTTCTGACAGCAGTTAGCCAGGGCTGGGAAGAAAAGCCTAGGAGAGACATTACCTGTCTTGAAGTGAGCTTGATCAGGGACCCTTCATAGCCCTGTGGAGAGAGGTGGCCGTTTCAGGGGTCAGAAGCTGTGGTTGTGCTAACCCAGCACTGTCTCCTGCTGACTGACTCATTCTAACAGTTCTCCAAAGTCAACCCCCTCACCGAGGCTGACTGAGTCCTGCTACCTTTGTGTTCTGAGTCACATGGTACAGCAGTACCTAGGATACTTCTGTGTACTCAACTAACTTTAATTTGAGCGCAAGTGCCTTATTCAGCTTCCTCAGCTTCAAATGGAAAAAAAAAAAAAAAAAAAAAAGAGAGGCTACACCAAATCTCAAGAATTCCCACATGGCAAAGTCTGTCAAGATTCATTACCATCTCTACTTCACAGAGGTTCGGCAGGGCCAAGAAACTGGCACAAGATGAGATTCGGCAGAACCATCCTAGACAAAGCCAGGTCTGGGACCTCAGTTTCTGATACACCTTTTTGCAGTTCAGTCCACAGCAGAGATTCATTCATGCTGCTCAGCCCTGATCCTGGACCCTGGGGGCTCCTGGGTCCTGACTCACCTTGAACGGTCGGAACAGCAGGTATAGTTCTCTAGGCTTAATATCCACAGGGAGGCCACTGACAAATAGTGTCCGGACCTGGAGACACAGACCACAGTGGTCACGGTCAGGGGAGACAGGAAGGAAAGGTTTGTTCATCCACAAAGTAGGCCTTACAGAGAAATTGAGTATATCCTAAGCCACCTTTACACATCGAGTTTCGTGGCTTTGAGTCTGTTTCTGTTAGGCTTCACCCAACACCTCTGGGCAATCTCCCAGCAACAAAGGCAAAGCAGGAGAGCCCTGTTACACAAATCCTTTCTCAGACCAAAGACCATAGCCCCACACCCCTGAGAGAGTGAGAGTGCCTCACTCCATAAAATAAGCACATAAAAATGTTATGGTTTTGCACTTGCTACAGTCACAAGGCCCAGAGTCTGGATTTGAGCACCCACATAAACTGGACATCCCAAGAACACCTGTGACAACAGCTCTTGGAAGGATGGAGACAGGAGGATTACTGTAGCTAGCTGGCTTTCAGCCTAGGTTCAGGAAATAAGTGGAAGTGACAGAGGAGAACCCTACCTAAGACCCTCTTCTAGCCACCACTCACAGACACAAACCCACACAAGTGTGAGCATATACTCACACAAACATGTACACACACAAATTAATAATTTTTGGGGGGGGTTTGGAGACAGGGTTTCTCTGTAGCTTTTGGAGCCTGTCCTGGAAAGCTGTGACCTCAAACTCACAGAGATCTGCCTGTCTCTGCCTCCCGATTGCTGGGTTTAAAGGTGTATGCCACCACCACAAGGCACAAGTAATAAATCTGAAGAAAAAAAAAAAAGTTCTATTTTGCCAGAAGATACTCATAAGCCCTTGGTGGAAAGCTCTGGTCTGAGAGAGGCCCAGACACACAGGTATTTATTTCTCTTATGCTCTGGAGTATGAATGCAGGTGAGCAGGCTGCTGCTGCATCTTCTGTTTTCTGCACTAGAGTCTGCAGTAGCTGGGAGTGAGTTATAATCTTGTCTCTAAACCTAGATATTACTTATCAAATACTATTTAAAATTTACTATCAGCCAAAGCATAGCAGCGGCGGTGCAAGCATTTATCCCAGCACTCGGAAGGCAGAGGCAGGCAAAGCTCTGGGTTTGAGAACAGCCTGGTTTACAGGGCTGTTCCAGGAAAGCCAGGGATACACAGAGAAACCCTGTCTCCAAAACCAAACCAAAGTGAGCTGGGTATGCTGGCACTCACATTAATCCCAACACCTGGGAGGTAGAGGCAACAGGATCAGAAGTTCAAGGTCATCCTTGGCTACTGTGAGCTTGAGGCCAACCTCAGCTGTTAAGAGACCTTGTCTCAAAACAAACCAACCAACAGTTTACTGGATATGGGAACAGGTGAAAAGCTGGAAATAAAACCATTATTGCAATGGGATTAAAGGCTGGCCTCCTGCCCATCTAGCTTTGTTTTTGAGGTCTATCTAAGCAGACCTGACTGTCCTAGAACTCAATATGCAGATCAAGCTGGTCTTAAATTCAAAGATTCACCTGCCTCTGCCAAGAGCTGGAACTAAAGGAATGCTCCACCTGGCTTTCACCTGGATTTTAAAAAGTATTTTGTACATATAGTTATTCCACCTGCATGTATGTATATGTACCACATGCATGCCTGGTCCCTGAGGACAAAATGGGCCTAGAGATACAGAAGGTTTTGAGCCACTATGTGCTGTTGCTGGGAATTGAACTCAGGTCCTCTGGAAGATCAGCCAGTGCTCTTAACCATTTGTATCTCTCTCCAATCCCCAACCTGGCATTGTTGTTGTTTAGTTCTGTGAGACAGGGTTTCTCAGTGTGGCCTGGGCTGTCCCCAACTCAGAGGTCCACCTGCCTCTGCCTCCAGAGTGCTGGAATCAAAGGCTGCACCACCACCGCCCAGCTGTGACCTGGCTTTTTATGTAGATTCTGGGGGTAATAAGTTTAGTCCTCAAGCATGAAAGGCAGTATTTTGTCCATGGCCTCTGCAGCCCCATATGTTGAGTTTTGAAAAGTAGAATCTTGCCAGGTTCCTGCAAGAGCATTTGCTGCTATAATGAGTGCCCTCCTTGTGGTTACTAGTTGGTAATGAAGTCAGACCTAAATACTGGGTTTTTATCCTGTGACCCCTGGCCTCCTGAACCGCAGGCAGGTACTTGAGACAACTGGTAGAACTGTTCACCTTATCCAACTTCTATTTTTGTTTCGTTTATTTGTTTTTGTGGTACTAGAACCCTGTACATGCTAGGCAGGCACTCTACCACTGAGTTTGCTTGTTTTGAGACAGGGTCTTTCTACAGAGCCGTGAGCATCCCAGAACTCTCTATGTAGACCAGATTGGGCTTGAACTCACAGAGATCCACTTGCCTCTGACTCCCTAGTGTTGGGATCAAAGGTGTACACTATCATGCCTAGCACAATTCCTTGCTTAAAAAGAACAAAAAACAACTTTGAGACAGCATCTTGCCTAGACTAATCTTGAACTTTCAATGCTTTCACCTTTATCTCCCAGGCACTGGAATTACATTTACATACAGGTCTGTCACAAAGGGCGTCTGCTATGCAAATAAGGCAGTGTTAAAGTAGACACATCCCTTTCAGGCTGTGAAGGGAAGAGGAGGTCTTCTAGTTTACTACAGTTTTTGTTTTATTTTTATTTTATATTTTTATTTTATATTTTTAAGACAGGTTTTCTCAGTGTAGCCCTGGCTGTCCTGAACTCTCTTTGTAGACCAGGCTGGCCTTGAAGGTGTGAGGCACCACACCCTGCCTATAGTTTTTAAACTTATTCTTGCGTGCGTGTGTGCGTGTGCGTGTACACGCACATACACCTATGGAGGAAAAGAAGAGTGCATCAAATCAATCACCTGGAGCTGAATCACAGCGGTAGACTGCCTGATACAAGTACTGGGAACTGATCCTGGGTCCTCTATAAGAGAAACAAGTGCTTATAAGTGCTGAACTATCTATCATATTCAAGGGTTGGTTTGAAAAGGCTCAGTGGATAAAGACACTTGCTGCCAAAGCCGATTACTTGAGTTTGATCTCTGGAACCTACACAGTAGGAGAGAACTGATACCCATAAGTTGTCCTCAGACACCCCGTGTGCATATGTGGCATAGTCATAGACACTTGAGCACGTGCACAAACGTGTAAAATTTTTTTAAGAAAATTAAAATCCAGAATCACTTTAAGGTTTATGGTATCACCACTGGAGAGACAAAACCAGGAATATCAACATAAGTTGGAAACTAACTTGCTCTACCCAATAAGTTTTAGGCCAGCCTTAAAAAAAAAAAAAAAAAAAAAAAAAAAAATCCCACATCTTGTTGGTCTAAAGAGGTGGCTCAGCAATAAAGAGCAATTGTTCTTGTAGATGAGACACTATATATAGCCTTAGCTGGCATGGAATTTGCTATACAGACTAGGTTGGCCTCAAACTCAGATTTGATTTCCAGTGCCCACCTGATGGGTCACAAACATCTGCAGCTCCAATGCCAGAGTATCTAATGCCTCTGAGGTCAGACACACACACACACACACACACACACACACAATATGCTCATAAATATAAGCACTCCTGCTGCATATAAAATACATCTAAAAATTATTTAAGACCAAACAAATATAACAAACATGCAGGTAAGCAAAGCTTCCCTGCACACCTGACTCCTGTTTTCAGCCTCCTCTCATACTCCTCCACCCAGCCTCTCTCACTTTCCTGTTAAGAGGAGAAGCTGGGAAGAGACTCAGTAGATAGAGTGCTTGTCTTGCATACAAGGCCCCACATGAAGGGGCTACTAATGAATCTGCAGTTCCAGCACTAAGCAAACAGAGACAGAACCAGAAGTTCAGGTCATCCTCAACTACACAATGAGTTTGAGGCCATTCTGGGCTATATAAGACCCTGTCTTGGGGCTGGAGAGATAGATGGCTCGTTGGTTAACAACACTAGCTGCTTAAAATTGTCTATAACACCAGTTCCAGGCAATCTGGCACCCTCACACAGACATACCTGCAAGCAAAACAACACTGCACATAAGAATCTTAAAAGATGCCATTCTAAATTTTAAAAAAGGAAAAATACAAGCCAGGCATGGTAACTCATGCCTTTAAGTATAACACTTGGGAGGCTAAGGCAGAATAATTAATTGCTCTGAGTTCAGAGCCAGCCTAAGCTAAAACAAAAAGCAAGACCTTGTCTCAAAAATAAAAAAATGGTGACTTTCCTTTGAAATATCCATACCCACGTTCTTGGATGTGTCTTCCCTCAAGCACCCTCTCTGTCCCTTTTTAGTTGCTTTGGGGAATTTTTTGAGACACTATATAGCCTTAGCTGGCATGGAATTTGCTATACAGACTAGGTTGGCCTCAAACTCATAGATAGCCAACTATCTCTGCCTTCCAAGCACCTTGGCATTAAAGGTGTGTGCCAACATGCGCAGCCCCCTGTATCTCTTAATCTTTGTGCTTAAAATCTAGTTAAAACTGTCAGATGTGGTGGTGCACACCTTTAATCCCAGCACTTAGGAGACAGAGCCAGGAGGATCTTTGTGCCTGGTCTACAGAGCCAGGACAGTTAGGGCAGTTACACAAAGAAACCCCATGGGGGGGGGGGGGAGTGCAGTCAATCAATCAAATAATAATAAACTCTTACCTCTGCTTCCAAAATTTAAAAAAAGGGGGGTCGGTGTTTTAAAGAAAACAAATATAAATATAACCTATTTATATGAAAGTGAGAGGGGCTGGGTGGAGGAGTATGAGAGGAGGCTGAAAATAGGAGTCAGGTGTGCAGGGAAGCTTTGCTTACCTGGATGTTTGTTATATTTGTCTTGTTATATTTATATTGGTTTTAAAGAAAAAGAGTTCATTCCCCACCCACAATGTAGCCATGTCTGAGAGTGTTTGGTTGTCCCATGACAGGCCACAGGGAAGAAGGATCATGCTCAGGGCTGAAGGGGTGGCTCATTGTTCTCTTGCAGAGAACCTCAGTTCAGTTTCTCCTACCCACATCACTGACTCCAAATGACTTGCAACTCCAGGCCCAAGGGATCC